ATGTTTATTGCCCTACTGAGGCAGCAGGAGGTGGAAACAACTTTGCTGACAGATAGAAAACAATACATTTCGCTGATTAGTGCAACCAAAGTTTGGAGCAATATTATTATGAAATACACAGATAAAAAAATAATATCAAATGCATCCTTCCCTTTTGTATTTCACGAAAATAACTTTGGTTGCACTAAGCAACCAAAGTTATTTCAAATTCATTGAATGGCCTGAAACACTGGATCCATAGAGACAGGGATCTACCACAGCACAAGATTCAAGCTGTGCAAAGATGATCCCTGACAGTCCAACACATAGTAGCAGCAAGAGGCATAACCAAGGGACCGGGGTAGTGTACAGGAATATGAGTTGGAAGTCCTTCAGTCCAAATGGACACACCACTGGGAGTGGTTGAGAACAGAGCGAAGACCCTGTGGGACTTCAAGTTCCAGACTGACAAGAAGCTGCCGGCTGGCCAACCTGACATAGTGGTGGTCAACAAGGAGCAGAAGAGGGCAGCTGTGGTAGATGTGGCAGCTGACAGTAACTTCAATAACAAGAAGCATGAGAAGATCAAGAAATTCCAGAGGATGAAGGGACAACTGGAACAAATGTGAAAGGTGACGTCTACAGTGATCCCAGTGGTAAACAGGGCATTAGGGGTTGTGACAACATCTGAGGTCTCTGTCCAAAGGAATCCAATTCAAGGAACAACTGAGGTACTGCACAGAACCCTCAGATTCCTAGACTTCTGGTAGAAAAACCTGAATCCTTGGAGTTGGTGGCCATTTGGCTTTGCAGGACATTCTGCTTAATGGTTTGATTTGACTTGTTCCTTGAGTCTCTAAATTACAAAGAAAAAAAAGTTGTTTTGAGTGATCACCTTTATCCTTTGATGAAACATTTCTATTGGAGTGGTCTCTTTCAGGATAAAAAAAAAAAAAAAACTCCCCATGTGAATCACACACACAGTCACCACATCTCAACTCACATGAACAGCTATGGGAAATTTTGGACCAGTGTGTTAGAGCTCTTCACCATCATCATGAAGATACCAACTGAGAGAATATCTTTCAGAAGAATATCTTTCAGAAGAATAGTGTTCATCCCTCTAGTAGATTGATAGAAATGTGCTCTGAAGCTGTTCTGATGGCTTATGATGGCCCAATTCCTTACTAAGGCACTTTATATAGTAGAAATTCATGTATTTCTACAGTATATATATATATATAGAGGAGAATTGCTTCCAACCAAAGTTAAGCTAGACAAAGTGAAATACCACTGATACAAAAGCCATGTAGGATCATTAATGTGAGATGTTTGGCTCAGCTTAAGTTGGTTCCAGCTCATAAACCTATGAAGAAAGTGAGATGGATAGTCAGGCTGGGGAAACCGGGCGACTGGAAACAGCAGCAAACATTTGCAACCAGAAACACAAATTTGCAGGTGGACTGTAAACAACAGCAAGGAGGACTGGAAAAAAGAAAAAAAAATCTAAACATTCATTCTATCTTGGCATTGGCCTCCATCTGATTTATTGATACAGCTGATTTTTATTGACCGGTCCAAGTTTCCAGAGTGGCTATTATTAGGATTTGAAGTTTATTCATACTGTGCTTCATTTCTTTACTAGTGTTTTTAGTCCAGGCACTGTTTTGTAAACTGTTTTCTCTTTTCCCTGCATCTGGCAGCACAGTACTACTCTCACAGCAGATAGGTCCAATCCAACCTAGAAGTAAGGCATGTAGCTGTGGGCTTCCTCCCACACTCTAAAGACATCCTGACTGTGTGAACAAACTGCTGTAAATGATCCCTTTTTTAAGTATTGCAAATAGTTTGTCACATTTTAAATAGACATGTTAGTAGGTAACACTGTACTTTTGGTCCTGCTATTCAGCCCTGAACATCACTATATACCCATTTACATAACATTAACACAATGTAGTGCTGTGCGATAAGGACTTTTTTTTTTTATGCACGATGTCTGTACTGTCACCAAAGGGCTTACTGAAAAGGAATCAGTTGGATTTGTTGGGGTTCTCTTTATAATATAAACTGTAATACCTTGACCTAAATATGTCAAGTTCCCTGAGATGGCACATGTTGTGAATTGGCACTGTATTAATAAAACCTAATTCAGCTGAACTGAGTATTTGTCAGCAATTACAGCTAATCCTATGAATACACATGTACTAATATTGCAGGTTTTTTTCCAGCTGAAATAGCCCTTTCCTGTGATCGGAGCTCATTTTTATTTATTTTTATTTAACCTTTATTTATCCAGGTGAATCCCATTGAGATTGGCATCTCTTTTGCAAGGGACCCCTGGCCAAGAGGGCAGCAACAAGGGTTACAACATTACAACACAAAAAATATAATATCTAATATATAAACACAACAAAGTATAAATATATGAAATGTATACAGTACACGACAACTCAATTAAAGCAGCTACAGACTTCTTTTTTTACAGACTGTAACAAACATTTAAATTTTTAATAAAGGAAATAAGGTCCGACAATTTGATCGTTTTCTAGAGCAGATTCCAGGACCAAGGGGCATTGTGACAAAACGCATTCTTCCCAAATGCAGTGACGACATGAGGGACCTCATCATATCCATCACAGCTGTTCTATTGTCACTCTCTTCCCTGGTTGATAACAAGTGAGAATTTGCACTTAAAAAAGAGAAGAAAGAAAAGAGAGAAAAGAGGAGGACATTCAGCTCAAACTGTCCTCTGGTCCTCTTTACCAGAGCCCCCAAACGAGCAAATAATGAGAAACCTGCTCCAAACCCTGCAGCTCTGTGAAAGGCTGCAGCTGTTTGCTGAATGTCCACCTGGGGGCGCCGGAGCACTGCTGCAGCTGACGAGCACCGAGTTAACAGGAGAAGAAGAGGGAGGAAGAGGAGGAGGTGCCTGAGGTGGCTGTTTCTGTTTGTGTCATCCTACAAGAAATTACAGGTAAGACCTGCCGAGCAGAACAAATGTGTGTTTTTGTTTGTTTAATCGACGTGCTACCCTGCTCTTGGTTAATATTGACAGTAGTGTGTTGAAATGTGTTGAGACGTGCTCAGGTTGCTTTGCTAACTTATAATGTTAGCAAAAGCTTAATGAATGTTTGGCCTTATGTTGTGCTTTAACGCTCACACTCAAGACAAGGTTGAGATATTTGAATAACTGATGTAAAAGCTAAACAGGTGTTCCACTTCAAGGGACTCCTGTCTTTGAGGTGCAAATAATATACTTACTTATAGCAAGCTAATGCTGTTAGCTCCGAACCCCATGAATCCGAACTTCGTTCAAATATTTTCATATTTCAGCTCAATTGTGTCAATAGCCCTACATATCTGTCAAATTTAGATTTATCTACAGTTACAACCAAAGTCTTAGAGTCGTCCTTTCTATTCGGCATTCGCGTCTTATCTAAACAGGTGTTCATTTGGCTGCAATGTTAAGTTTGAACTTTGAACTACTGGTTTCCGTGAACCAGAGGAAGGCGTGTCTTCCACTTCCTACAAATGTAGGATTTTATTCAGCCAAGCTCTGCTTCTTCCTGAAATGTCAGAAAATCCTTTCTACTAGTATAAAAGGTTGCAGTCTTTACCAGTACACTGTCAGATGATGTGTACATGTTTCCATCTTTAGAGAACACCTACATATCTTTACTAAATACCGTCTAACGTGTTACTCTCAGAGCTTACTGCAAAACAGTTGTTGCTTCGCCTTCACTTGATTATATGTTTGGTCATTTATAATAAGAGATGTACCCTAAGGAAAATATGTCCAACCTATAATGAAAACAAAAAGCAGTAAACAGCTAACAAATCAAAGTAAAGTCTAATGCACATTGAAGATAGGTGTATATTCAATAAATGTAAATGTAATGGATGCTAAGAGAAAATAAAAGTATCGACTGTAAACTATGATTTGGAGGCAGGTCCACTGTTGAGCCAGCAAGGTCACCATATTGTATCTGTGTAAATCCTTACTAACCAAAGCTGAGGGAGCTTCTCTTCCAACTCCTTCAGCATGTGTAAACAAAAATAACATTTGTTATATTTATATGTATATATAAATAAAGCTGTGTAGATAATGTCGTAGATAGTATTTTCACATTTATGGTATGTATCACCTGAAAAGTTACAGTGCTTCAGCGTTTGGCCTTCAGTCCTCTTTAAGTGTGACAAGGTCACAGTTGATGCCCAGCTAAGCCTGAGCTCAGAGGAGATAAACAAGTGAGTGAGAGGCCAGCTCCGGTGTGTTACTACTGCAGGACGCTGAGTGTTAACTGGCTGGACAGACAGGTTCTTGAAGCTGGAAGAGTAAACATTTGGTTGCAATTAAGGCGGGCATTGTGAGAACGCCAAAAGAGAAAATCCATCTGCTGATTTTCACATGCTGTCGTTCCTGTCTGTTCACCAGGATGGCACAGTGGGGTGCCATATTCTCAATCATTGCTGCTCTCGGAGGAGCTGCGCTTTTAGCCTCTGTGCACAAGATCGATGAGGGACACACTGGTGTTTACTACAGGTGAGTCAGCGGCACACATTGTTTTTTATTTTGTGCTGGAGACATTATTGCTGCAGTACTCTGTTGTAAAACTGAGACTATTAAAAAAAGAGCACCTGCTTTAAAGGCATTTGCCATAAACATCTTAACTGCTAAACACTGATGACTGTAATTATTCTGGCATTAAAGTGCTCAAAAATGCCAGCTCTGTATTGCCTCCACACCTTCTTAGGTTCAAGGTGTTTAAATCCTCATCACCTGCTAAGACATGCTGTAAATATTTAAGTTTTTGTGCTGGGTGAAATGAAATCAGCTTTTTTTTTTTGCTTCAGTGAGGTCTTTTTACACAAATGATAAGTGTCACTGATTAACACTGTGCTCTCCTTTGATAAAATCGATCCTTTGTCATGTGATTCCTCTGAAAAATTCCTCTTTATAGAGAGGCTGATCAAGAATGTGTTCTATCTGAGCTCACAATCAGCACTAGAATGAGGGATGATATAAACACAGAGTTCTATGAGGGACCAGCTGTCTTTATCTCCCTCTTTATCTCCTTAATAAGCGCTGCCATAGAATTTATTATTTAGTGTTCCATCTGAACTGCTCCTACTACAAGTAATCATAATTGAATATTTCATTGATAACTGAAATTGCTCTGAATCTTTGCCTTATGTTTTATATAACTTTGTCTATGTGCCACACAGGGGAGGGGCTCTCCTGACTACCACCAGCGGTCCTGGTTTCCATCTCATGCTTCCATTTATCACAACCTACAAGTCTGTTCAGGTGAGTCCAGTGAAGACAGTTGTTTTTATAATGTAAGATCACAAACCACTATTATAGTCAGTGCAGTGAACAGTTTAAACTGTTTCCATTTTCAAATAAAATTCATCATAAAATAAAAGCAACTTGAGTAAACAAAAAATACAAGTTTTAAATTATAACTGTACTGAACTGAAAAAGTTATCTAATGCCTAAATTACCAATGTGAAAAAGTCATGCCCCCCTGTGAACTTAATAAATAATTGTTCCACTTTTAGCAGCAACAGCTGCAACCAAATGCTTCTGAAAACTGGAGATCAGATGTCACTGTGGTGAAATACTGGTGCACTCTTCTTTGTTAAGCTGCGTTAGTTGAGCCACATTGGAGAGTTTGGAGGCATGACGCGCTCTTTTCAGGTTGGTCAAAAGCATCTCAATATAGGTGAAGTGCAAACTTTGACTAGGTCACTGTAAAACTTAAATTTTATTCTCTTTTGAGCTACTCAGAGTTAGACTTGATCTTATTCTTGGGATCATTATCTTGCTTCATAACTTCGCTGTGCTTCAGCTTCAGCTCAGATGGACTGATAACCTCACTTTCTCCTTCAAGATTTGCAGTCAGGGAACATCCATCCATCCATTATCTATACACCGCTTAATCCTCACTAGGGTTGCGGGGGGGCTGGAGTCTATCCCAGCTGACTTAGGGTGAAGGCAGGGGACACCCTGGACAGGTCGCCAGTCTATCACAGGGCCACACTTAGAGACAGACAACCAAGCAGTCAGGGAACAGAATTCCCTTAATTATGGAGGGCCACCCTCAAGCAGAAAAACATCCCCACAGCGTTACTCTGTCACCTCCATTCTTTACTGTTGGTGTACTCTTCTTTTTGTGCGATTCTGTGTTTAGTTCGTGTCAGCAGGGTGTGTAGTGGCAAAATTCAGATTAGCCTTAATGTTCTTCTGGTTCAGCCATGGTGTTTGCGCTGCCATTCTCCCATGATGCCATATCTTAGTGTTTTTGGACAGTGAAGTCAAGAACACTGATCTTTATTGAAGTGAGGGGGAACCTGCAGATTCGTGGAGGTTTTCTTAGGATCTTTTGTGACTTCCTGGATGAATCATTAGTTTGCCGTTGAAGGAATTTTATTAGCTTGGCCACTGCTTGGAGTGTTCACTGTTGTTCCTTTTGTAGATGATGTCTCTCTCTGACGATCTGCAAAGTCCCAGAGCCTGATGTTTTCCAATCACCTTTTTCCTCATCACTTCTGATTTTTTTTCCTTTTTTTTCCCACTTTTCATTGTGTGCCAATAGTGAGACTTTTCCATCAATTTCATGCTTCTGAAAATGAACAGGGCTAGTAGTAAACCTGGATGTGCTTAACAGCTGCAACCAATTATCAGTTTGGTAATGTTTTAACCAAAGGGGCAAGTAATCATTCACATAGCCACGGTTCGTATTAGATCATTCTTTTTGATTCTATGCATACAATCATCACTTTAAAACTTGTTTTTTTGTTTTTCCTCAAGTTGCAGAGTTTTATATTTTTATAGACTAATGTACTCGTGCAAATACCAGTTGTATAGGGTTAGAGAGACACATTGAATGTGTTGTCCACATTCAGATGAAAACAAAAAATCCACAGTTGAACAGGACGGACAGACTAATATGTACCCCTCTACCATAAACCTTGTACTTTGTGAATGTAATGAATAATGTATTCATTTAAAATGAGGTAAGGTATAGCCATAATCTGTCCCAGTTTTTACTTTTCAGGATTTAAAATATACATAAATGTCTACCTCCACTTTTTAAAAAAAAAAACAGAACGAGAAAGATAATAATCCCGTCAGCTGTTATTGCGTACATAAATAGCACACTGTATGTTTTCCATTAAAGAACAGATTAGGCTAAGAAACATCTTGAAGT